GATTCTAAAAGTAGGAACAAAGGACACTCAAGGAAAAGTACTTTTTTCAAAGAAAAGAGCATGTAGATTTTGGTGTTCTTGGAAAGACCAAACATCATGGTGGTACTGAGAATGCACTCAGTACACAGGAGTTGCCTACTCCTTTTACTCTGTATCTACTCTCTGGCAGCCAGATACATCTCTTTCCTCACAAGCCTATAAAAAAAAAAATCAGATACCTCCCTGTAAAAGACAGGATAAAGAAAGTTAGATTTAGTGTATCTAGAGAGCACACTTTTATACAGATAGTAGCCCTAAAAAGTAATATTATGCTTACACACTGTGTTTTCTTTCTAGAATGACATTCTGTTCTCAAAGCATTGACAACGTTCACCTTCATCCAGCCCAAGAGAAAACATTTGTGAGGTGTGAAGATCGCTTTCGGAGACAAAACAGGAAATGAGCAAGAACACAAAAACCAACTGCTCACCAAAATATATTCAAAATACTATACATCTAGTAAAATGTTTTAAAAATACACAGCTACATTAAATTTAAATAACCTGATAGTTTCAGAGGTGGTGAAGAAAATACATTAAAAAAAATTTAGATTTTGTGATGCAACGGTAAACTGACCTATGTGCTTTGTTGATCTACAAGCCTATTCTCAAAGTGATAGATAAGCAATTTCATCAACGGCAACTGCCAATTTAAAATTGTTTAAAGTTTTAAAAAACACCTGCTTACTAGAAATTAAAAGATTACTATTTGAAAGAATCATTGCCATAAGCCTTTGGAAAATTTCATTTTGTTTGATTTAAGGGAAAAAAGAAGCCTCATTTCCCATTAAATACTTTGAAACATTAGTAGTAATTATTATCAGTTAAAACTTTCCTAAATTCTTTCCTAATGAAAGGGGAGTTAAAGAATTCATAGAAGAAAATATTCCCAGATAGATAACATTGTTAAAGAGTTTGAACTTTTTACTCCGTAACATTCAAAAACCAAAATGCATCTCAACACACAGAACACTTGAGCTATCTGTCATAACCATATGACAAGCCAAATAACTATATCACCTAAGAATGCTATACTAAACTTTGTCCTATTGGAAAATACTTTGCTGTTAAACTATTTTAACTAAAGTACTGATTTAAATTACTAGTAATTTAATTATTTAAATGATGCTTGGTATACTACACACAATTCTAGCACAACTAAATTCAGTTAACTCTTGCATTAAAATCCTATTTACCTGTTCAGGTAAAGCCTGAGGCTTTTAGATTTTAAATCATTGTATAGCAGATTTTAGCATGATGTGAAACTGCATGATTTGAATAAATGAAAATGGTAAACCCCTCAAACATCTTCAGTGCATATAAACAAACTTTATAAATTCAAACATATATAATTCCCTTGTTTCCTATGTCAGAGTATAAACTACATAAAGAAACATTATTGTATCAGATATTTTTATTTTATGGTTAGTGCATACTGAAATAGAAATCAATACGTATGTCCAAGTATTTCATTTGTCACTTTGTAATGCTAAGCACAAGATTCATTAAAAATTATGTTTCTACAACTCTGCATTCTGAATGTTATTTGTTTTAAATGTTCTCTAAATGGTAAAAAAATGTGCATGGTATTTCTAAGACCTGGAGAAAAGCATATTTTCCATCCCAAGATATTGCAGGGAATTTTGAATCAAAATGTACAGATGTCATCGGGATTAAAGTGAGATTTACTTTAAAAGCATGACAAAATGAACAAGTTGAGCAGAGCTAGCAAATCTGCAAGCAATAAACAGTGATCAAATGTTGAATGCAGGCACCTTTGCCGACCATTCAGAATATTAACTTCTAACTTTTAAAAGCTGTTTTCAATAACTACCATTCCTTTAAACAAACAGGAATATCCAATACAGAAACAGAAAGGCTGACTAAATATGATGGTAGCTGAAGCATACTTACTTTTCAGATGAAAATAGTTGTCCTTCCAGAGATGTAAATTTCAGAAGCTGATCTGATATTTAAAATGGCCACTTGGAGTAGCATCTTGATTAGGAGAAATATTTATGGATTTAGATACAAATTCCACAGAGAACGATCTTTAGATCTTCACTGAAAACAAAGGTTTGTGCTTTAAAAGATTTTGCTCAATGAAGCAAATTGGCTTTTTAAACACGAAAAGTATTTCCATCTTCTATGTCAAAAATTACAATTTAAGTGATTAATTCCATGCTTCAGGTTGCTATCCCCAATACTTAAATTTCCTAATATAATTATTTTATTAAAGCTCTGTAGTATGTTCTCTGTTTATACAAAAATCAATCACGTAAATACAAGAGCCAAAAGTCAAATCGGGAGCACGCACAGAAGAGGGAAATTTCAGCAATAAGTATCCCTGAAAGTGTTAGGTAAGCACCACACCTTTCCTAGTTGTTTACATTTGTAGTAGCTATAATCCACTGGAGAGACTCAATTGCTAGAGACCCAGTGACAGCATTTTTAGGGGCATGAAGTTGAAAGGGACTGTCCCCTGAAAAATGAGAGACAAGGAACAAATTATAATGTGGCCACTTTAGTTTTCCAAAGCACAATGAAAAACGAGACAGAGAAAGTACAGAGACACACAAGTGTGTGTGTGTGACTAACTCAAATTATGCATCTCCCGAGATTGTTTCTAGAATTCAGTTTTTGCTTCTGGAAAAAGCTAAGGATCTGCCACTTTAACTTCTTATATTTAGGGTTGTTTTGTTTATAAAATACTTGTCTATTTATAGACTTGAAATACTGTCATTGGAATTACAACATTGGTTATCACCAACTTTCTCAGCTATGAACTTTTTAAGCACCCTTAACCAACACCTACCCCCACTCCTCAAAAAAGTCTTTGTTCAGAAGATACTGAAAGATGACAGAGCAAGAGACAGGCTAGAAAGAACTAGACCATGCTGCTTCTTCAGTGCAGAAACTACGATGTGTTTTGCCATACCTGAAAATAGCACTAGCAAAACAGCTTTTAATGAGATTTGTATGATGTAAAATACACATATTCATAGAGCCTTTCAAGTCATGATTTTCCTGTAGTTACACATCCTAACACACTTATAAACATTTTAGATATTAAAATTGGCATTTCTTTCACATTACTATTACTTACTTGGTAAGAAAGCCAGTAAAGGGATCTAAACTTTAGGAGAAACAAGCTTGAAAGCATTAGTTCAGGAAAAGCAGGTGGAAAAAAGGTCACAGATGTCTACAGTGTGCAGAAACTCAAGTAATGGGGATACTGTAGTTTGAGGACTTCTAAAGTTTCTGGGGAAAAAGCATTCTCCAGTTCAACGGAAACAAGCTAGTATATCCTCAGATAAAGTCAAATAGGAAAATTAAAAGAACATTCGGTATTTCCACTCTTGCAGATATGAAGATACTTATTCTGACATCATTTTTTGCAAATCGTATGTCCAAATAGATCCTGTCTCTGTGTTTTGATAGCCATTACACTAATTTCTGATATCAAAGTGAAACAGAGCCCAAGTTGCAGCACACTCAAAGTCTTACAATACCTGTGAACACATACCTACAACTGTAAATGCCTACCGTGGTGCCTTATTTTGTGCTCATTGCAAGTATTCCTGTCTCACTCCAAACAACTGAATTGAGACCTTGAAAGCCATCAGGAGCCTACTCCTGTCAGAGCAAGCACAGCTTAGAATGACATAACGACTACTGTCCTTCTAATCGCCTCTCTAATAATGACCCTCCAATATTCAGAAGTAAAAATCTCTTCCTTTCTTTTTCTGTGTTTTTCCTGAAAGAAATATTGGAACATTAATTAAAAGGCAAACTATATCAATGATTTACAGTCTGTATAGTATAAAGTTTCATAGCTTAAGAGGAGTTTGATGCCCTTCTCAAATTCACACCATTCCAACTATGCATGCTTCTACACCAGAGGTGAATGTATACATTTAATGATTAAAACATTAATTAATACAAGAAGAATAAATTAATAGCTACAACTAGAGATTATTAGGTCAAATATTAGTTAGAAAAATTACAGCTATTTATGTACACATTTGTTTCCCCAAAACATGTTTTACAATATACACAAAATTTGTATTTTAGATGCTTAGGCATTATTTCTACCCTTCTGATTTGCATTCCTAGGCAGAAATCTAAATGCAACCACCACCAAATCTATTAGGCAGCTATGAAGATTTGCAGAAGGGCTCTGCTCCAACTGATTTTCTTTCAATATCTTTTGTCCTGACAGTGCTATTTAGCTACAGGGGGAAGCACTTATTTTTTTTAAAAAAAAAAAAAAAAAAAGTCATGGGGCAGAGGGGGGAAAGTACTGTGATGAAGGAACTCTGAATATGCTTTGATTACATCAAAGCATATGTTGCTCAGTTAGGGAAACAGATGTCTAAGCAGGTCATTCTCAACAGACAGCCCTAAGAATGAAAGACTAGCTGGCAGGACTTGGCTTTTAAAAGCAGTCTTATCACTTAAATCAACTATACAACGCATGAAAACAGAGACCCAGCTCAGAAGTTTTAAAACACCCTACAAAAAGCAAATGTGCTCCTTCTAAAAGTCTTATCCATCAGTTGTGCATTCAGAGTACTGCATGTTAATTCCAGTATTCCTCTTCAAAAACATATTTATTTCAGAAGGTATCATTCAGTAGCTATGGTGACAGGCTTGAATACCCCACCAGTAACTACCTTCTGTTTTGAAGATAAGAACAAGCTTTATTCCTGTGATCATACAAGTAATTTAAAGGTAATTTTAGGGCTTTTCCTTAAAAAGGTTACACAAAAACATTTACTCTTACATTTAACTGTATGATGTTAATATTGGGAGGTGCACTTTGACAGTGTAAAGATTGTACAATTACTTTTTGGCATGACAGCCTCTTTCCAGCGAGAGCCAAAAATTAAGTAAAAGTAGAATCTGTGTATTCCTTTTTGCTTTCAGGGTTCAAAAAGTAAATGGATTTTCAGAAGATGATTTCACCAAGTCTATTTATTAATGCATTTCAAGTTTCAAAAAACCTTACATATCTTTGCACAATACTTTATTTTTTGCATTTTTAGTAAAAATTTCCAAAGTGAACAAAAAAAGAGACTGTATAAAACACAGTGGACATGAAATCGACAGTAGTATTCCATTTCATTGTCTTGAACTTTCTTTCGGTTTTACCACATCTTGACTTGCAGTGGAGAGTTCAGTGCACATTTCTGTTTTCTGAAAACATTTAACTTAGATTCAAAATAAAATAGGGCAGCATCTGTCTGCCAAAATCCTACCACAGGATAACGTTACAGGCAAAAAATTTACATGTTCCAAAGTCTACCACACTCAAGAAGTTACTAAGAACTCTTGCTGAATAAAAGCCACCATTTTAGAAATGCAAACCCACTTCCAATCTTTGCACAGTCTTAAAACAAATGTATTTAAAATGACTTAAAAGCAACTACATACACTTCTAACTAGTTAAGATCATTTAGAATTATTTATATAGTCTATTGGACTTGGGGTTTCATGTACAAAATTTGTCTCTAAACCATGTACAAAAAGCTGTATTTTGAAAAAGTTACCACATACTGTACAAGTTTACAAGGAAGAGATCCCATTATATTCTGTAACATTTTTGGCCTTGCTGGCTTGCGTCACATTATGAGAATGATTGTGTAAACCTTATACTCTTAAAAAACAAAACAAAAACCAAAAAACAAACAAAGGAAGCCTGGCCAACCATTAGTAAATTTTCTCCTAAGCAAAGCCAGGAAAATTATACCCATTTGCATCTCTGATTAGCTTGGTGCTTTTGGAAAACAAGCAATAAATATATCACAAGCTTAAACATTTTGTAATGCCCCCTTTCATCTCCTGCATAGCAGTAAGCACCTTAAGACATCTTTTGTTTCCTCTTTCAAAAATGCCAATTATTTACATTCGTAATAAAAACTTTGGAATGGGACATTGTGCTGTTGAACTTCACTACTGGTATAAAATGTGGGAAAATTGGTAGTCCTAACTATAGTTTTGACTCTGCCACAGTAACTGGGCAAATCACTCTAGTGGTTATCAATCAACAGTATCATGCTGAAAAGTCATCCAAATATCTGATAAATTAAAAAAGAAAATAAAAACACTACAGCTATTTTTTCTTTCCACATCCCTCAGAACACAAACTTAATTATCATAGTTATTTGAACAGCCCAAATAAACTGGTTGCAATTTTTAAAACAAGGTGAATAACAGGCAGAATTTTCTAATAAAGCATGGAAATATTTCATCTAACTATTCATTATTTAACTGAATAATCAGACAAATTAAAAGTACTTATGCTGAGCTACAAGAAATTAGACACATAAAACATTTTTGAAACATTCTGGCATTTGCAAAGTTTGCAGAACACCTGTTATATCTCTAAAAGACCATTCAATCTTGTATGCTATGTCTTAGCAGCTGTTCGATAAAGATGAAATGAGTGCTTGAAACAACTGATCATGATAAAAAAAAAGTTTGATTTGATTCAAAATTGCTGTGTAAAGCATCACAGGATCCTTGACCATTACACACCATCATCCTCTGTTATCCTGAGTATGTCAATTAAACAGTAATTTCTTCATTAATAGCGGAAAAGTTTTATAATACAAAGGAACATCCATATTGCAATTCTCTTGTTTACAATTGCACACAAGTACGGGTGTACGTTAGAAATACATGTCTGCATATAACAATGTATATACATTGACAAGTAATGTCTCCAATGCTGAGGTGGTCTAGCTTCCTAGCCTTGTCTGGCAGTTGAAAAATATATATTTGTTTCAATTCTTGAGTAGAAGTTTTACTACAGCCATATTTGCCTGCAAGTGAAGAAAATGCAGCAATGAAGAGCACAGAAGGGGGAAAGAATCATGATACTCCAGGACTTTGTGCCACTAAATTAAAAATACGCAAGAAAAACACTTTTCTTCTTTTTGAGCTGGAAGATTCACTCATTAAAAATTAACTGCTTCCACTTGTTTTGAGGGCATATCATGCTTTTTTTTTTTTTCCTCTTCAACTTTTGAGAGTTAGACTGGGGACAACGACTTATTAGGTTTTCTTTGGAGTGAGTTTTCCCATTGTAGGCACTAGGAAGAACCAAGGCAAAAAGCTGCAGTCAACGTCTCATATGTCCCATCTGATAACTCTCTCGAGGCCTTTGCCGCTGTGGTGGCTGAGTGGTTTGTGGTGGTCTCCTCCTTTTTAAAGTGCCTGTTTCAAAGAAAGGTACACATTATCAAAGTGAATTTAAAAAAAGAGACAATTTCCAGAAAAGTTGCCCTGGCCATGCAAATTAAATATAACTATTTTTCGGAAAGACTTCAGATTTAGACGTGCAAGATTTTAAATAGATGATTAACTTTCTGGTGTATTTACAGAATACATTTTATTATCTCAAAGGTAGCTCCTTAAACAGGCTGATTCTTACAAAATGTAGCACAGAATAGGAAATAAAAGGAACTCTGAGTTAAAGAAAGTCTTCAAAGCTTTCTTTTGATACACGTATTATGTTATAGGAAAATAAGGCAAGAGTCACATTTTTATGAATTGTTTCACTGGCATGAATTCCATTTGTAGTATAGTGCCAGACTAAGAGCTGTAGGTTGGGACACCTGAAATTTCCCTTTAGAACAAAATAGTTGAGGATAAAACATTTCTCTATAAATTTAATTATCTGGTGTACTCACCTGGAAGTGGTTTATGAGGAGGCAACTTTGGATTACTGCTTGGAGTATGAACACTGCATATCTTAATGAAACCAGCCATTAACATGATCAAGGCAATTCCCATAAGCAACACTGCCCACCAATAAGCCTAAAAACATTAAAAAAAAATATTTTTGGGGGGCTGGCACATGTGCACAAGAGACAGGGGTCACTGAATATGGCTTTCCTTTGCCTTTTAAAAGTCATCAAAAAGTTCTGAAACATCACTTAAAAGACCATAACATTTTAAAGAAAAATGTTCCCAAACTTACAAAAAAAAAAAAAAACCCCAAATACTTCAAATTCATTCTAGTATCAGAAGAGTATTTCACAGAAGATACACTATAGCAGAGCTTTATAAGCCTAAAACAGTCAACAGCTTACACAAAAATTGACTATGCAGCTCTATAATGGTGCTTCGTTGTAGCTGTCCTCCCATTCTATTATTAGGAAAGTTTCATCTAGTGCAATAAAAATAAGAAATGCTAGAGATCAACATATTTAGCTCCTTAGAAGAAATCAGAGTATTCAAATATGAAGAGTTAAAATGGGAAAACCCAGTAAAATAAAAATGTGAACATGAACAACAAAACAGACAGTGGTATGAACACAAAATATTTACTTGTTTGTTATTGTTATTTATTTGCCTCCATTCCCTTCAATCTGTCAAACTTATTTGCTGCACTCAAGGCGCTTATAGAAAAATTAGTAAAACAAGGACTGATTACACTTTGAAGAATGCTGAAGTACTGTGTATATACAGCAACACTCACCAAGTGTGAATATTGATTAACAAGAAAATTTTACATTAGACTGGTAAGATAAAAAAAAAATACTTACCACAATCCATTCTGCAATATTTTCATACAGCTCCGGATTAAAAATGGCTTTCTTTAATCTAGCTAGAGGGCCATCAGCATCTACTAGCCGACACCTCATAAACACATCACAGTAGCCTTTGAAATCATTACAAGGAGATCCAGGTTGCAAAGTAATAGTTTTACGACCAAAGTATTTCTCCCACTGGTTAGAGCCTGTACTTGCACAAGTAGCTGGGTCCACTGAAAAGTGAATACAAATTAGATTAATCAAACCATTATTGTATTAAAACATACGCATGAATACCTTGGTGTTCAATTGTTCAAAATGCTTTTGAAAATTTTAAGTTTCTATTAATCTGTAAAAAATCAAAATATATTGTTTATTTCCTACAAAATACAATACAATGTCTATCTGAAACTAAGTATGAACAAAATCACAGTATGCTCTTAAGTTAGCAAAAAATAAAATATAAACACCATGAGAAGATTACTCAGATACCTACTGCTGTGTTTATGCTTACAATTCAGACAAATCTTACTTTTTCTCATGCAGCAGACATGACACAATTCTCTATCATCCTTGCCATCTGAACTAGCACATGTACATTCCTCCAGGCCATGCTTCTCACAGATAGAGCCAGCACATTGCTGTTTGAGACAAAAGCATGAGAACACAAAAATCAATTTCTCTTCTAAGCACACTGGCATTAGGAAAGATATTAATTTTTAATAGCTGAAAGCATAATGGTAGGTCTAAAGATGCTTACCAATAAAAATAATAGCTTGAATTTCTTCTAAAGTTTAGAAAACAAAAAATTTATTACAGTTACTCAATTGAAGTGTTTAGGCTTATTTGATTTTTTTTTTTTTTCCCCTGAAGATGATTTACCCTATTTTATTTTTTAACACTGTATTTTCTTTTAGGGCCTCAGAGTACCCCGCAAAACACTCACAGCACTGCAATTCACACTGAAACATGATTACTTAAAACCGTTGTTAGGAAAATAAATCAAAAGCATGTCTTCAAAAAAAAGCATGTGTCTCAAAGTAATAATAGAAATTAATGGCAGGAAAGATTCTGTATTTAATTCCACTGTGGGAGGACCCTTCAAATTCAAATAAAAAGAAATTCAGTGTATTTATAATCTTGTTCCAAAAATCAAGTAATTATACAAAGACAATTCCTCCATCTTTAAGACAACTCTGAATTAGCTAAAAATTATTACAAGCAGTATCATTTGATTAAAAACCTGGACTGTGGAAAACTGAGTCTTACAGCAATGCAAGTTACAGCTCTAAGAGGATTACTTCTGCTTGTTTCTGCTTCCAAGTAAATATGGATCAATTTATAAGAGACTTCCCATCAATATTTCATAGCAACTGCCATGGACTCTTTAACCCAGGAAACTAATGGCAGGTCAGAGTAATTCTATATGCCTGCACATCTATGTTACATGCGCATGGGTGGAGGAACTGTATATTTTCATTAAACCAAATTCAACATCTATTGATAGCATATGTAATTTTCTAAGGCAACAAAATTACTTGGCAAGGCTGAAGAAAAATGAAGATGGAAGTAGGAAATAAAACACTTTCATATTCATGATTTTTATAAAACACTTTAAATGGACTTTTTTCAAATAGTAAAGCTAGCTTGGTATTTTTTACATGCTTCTTAATATTTGGTGTACCTTCACAGTTACTTTGATTGAAGCCAATAAACCAAACATTTTTATTGAAAAAGAGATTAATCTTACACTCTTTTCTATTAAGTATTGAAACCATATCACTTCATAATACACTGCCTTGAAATAAACAACTGCAATTGCATATAATTGTAAAAAAAAAAACCCAAAAAACATACCCCATTTATGCAAACTTGTGTGTGCCTGTTGCAATCTGTGAAGTTTGGTTTAGGATCAGATGCCGGACAGAGAGCACTGACACCATTACACATTCCTTCTCTTGCACAGTCAGAATCATTTCGACACTTATCAGTCTTCAGTTTGAAATTACATTGTGCAGTACAGCAGGGACCTTGACTAGGGCTAGAAATAAACAGAAAACATGGATGTAAAGAAAAAGCATGAACGATTTCAGAAGAACTATTCATCCTGAAACCTACTCAAACACTCGACATATTTCTGATTTGTGCTAAGTAAAATGTGAACTGAAAAGAATTCTTTCTGTCCCTTAAGGTAACAAAAGGTTACCGCACTGAGTACAGATTTCTTAGTCTTTGTAGTAACCAATTAAACTATTTGCATTTGTATTGCATTTGCATGGCAAAGTTTCAGTAGCAGAGGGCAGGGCGCTAAAGTGGTGGCTTCCGTAAGAAGCTGCCAGAAGCTTCCTCCATGTCCGATACAGCCAATGCCAGATGGCTCCAAGACAGACCAGCTGCTGGCCAAGGCCGAGCCAATCAACGACAGTGGTAGCACCTCTGTGATAACATATTTAAGAAGGGGAAAAAAAACCCCAAACACCAGGACCTGTGGACCCATGGAGAGAGAGGAGCCCACGCTGGAGCAGGTTTGCTGGCAGGACTTGTGACCCCGCGGGGGACCCACGCTGGAGCCGTCTGCTCCTGAAGGGCTGCACCCCATGGAAGGGACCCACGCTGGAGCAGTTCGTAAAGAACTGTAGCCCCTGGGAAGGACCCACATTGGAGAAGTTTGTGGAGGACTGTCTGCCATGGGAGGGACCCCACGCTGGAGCAGGGGAAGAGTGTGAGGAGTCCTGCCCTTGAGGAGGAAGGAGCAGCAGAGACAACGCATGCTGAAATGACCACAACTCCTGTTCCCCATCCCCCTGCACTGCTTAGGGAGGAGGTAGAGAAAATTGGGAGTGAAGTTGAGCCCGG